TTCCCTGTTGGGTGGTGTCAGAGTATCTGCGGAAGCCTAGTGAAGAGTCAGAACTTTCACCACAATGAAGCATTAATGAGGTCTCTGCCCTGATTCTTCCCCTGTCAGTCTTTCTTCCACTTCCTACCCACAGTGTCAATGGATACTGCCTGGAGAACTAAAGTGGCATTTCAACCTCTCTCAGCCAGGGAGACATCAGGGAGGCCTAGCAGGGAGCTGGAATATCCCTCTCGGTGCATCAGTAAGAAGGAACCCCAACTGAGGCCAAGGGGTGGAGACTTGAATTTGAACCCTTACCTGGCAGCAAGTAGGCAGTAGCCTCTTCCTCTGATGGCATTGGTATCTAAAAAAGCCTACCAAAACCAAGTTTTAAATAAAATCCAGAGTCTCACAACAAAAATCCCCAAGATGCAATAAAAAAAAATCATTCATCATACCAAGAATCCTGAGACCCTCAACTTCAAGGAGAAATGATGAATAAACACCAGCACTGAGATGACAGAGAGGTTTTAATTATTTGACAAGATCAAAAGTAACCAACATTTCAAAATAACTGCTTCAATGAGCAATTACAAGGAAAGTTGAAATGAACAAAAAATAGACAGTTTTGGCAAGGAAATAGGAGATATAATGAAGAATCAATTAGAAATTTTATAACAAGAAGACTATAACAACAAAATAAAAAACTTATAACATGTTCAAGGTCAGGCTGGGCAACTTAACCAGACTTGTCTCAAAATAAACAATGAAAAAGGGCTAGCATGCTTGAGGCCCTGGGTTTGATCCTTAGTACTGCAGGAGGAGGAGGTGGCAAAATGAGGCAGAAATCAAGACATTCTCAGACAAAGAAAAGCCAAGAGAATTTGTGCCAGCAGACTCACTCTAAAATAATGGCTAATGGAAGTTTTCAAAACATAATGATAAAAGAAGAAATCTTGGAATCTCAGGAAGGAAGAAAGAATAGAATGAGCACAAATATGGGCAATTACAATATACTTTCCTTCTCTTCAGTCATCTATGTTTGATAACTGAAGCAATGAGTATAAGATTGTGGATCTCAATGTATTTAGAGGAAATATTTAACATAATCATATTAGAAATGGGAAAGAGCAGGGCACAGTGGCGCACTCTAAGCAGCTTGGCCAGTTTTGTTAAGGAAATAGGAGAAATAAAATACAAAATAGGGCTGGGGATGTGGCTCAGTGGTTGAATGCCCCTGAGTTCAATCCCCAGTACCCCCCACAAAAAAAAAAAAAGAAAAAAGAAAAGTAAAGAGAGGGAATAAAGGGACTTGAAGGGAGGTAAGGCTTCTATTCTTTCCTTACCTCAATTAAATGATGACACCACTAGGTCTCTGTGGTGACAAAATAGTTCTGTATTTCGATTGCAATTGTTGTTACAAGACTCTCCATCTGTGACAAAGTGGCATAGAATTATATACACACTGTATCAATGTCAGCTTCCTGATTTGGATTTTGTACTGTAATTATGGAAGATGTAATAATTGGGGGAGGACTGAGGTTGTGGCTCAGCAGTAGAGTGCTTACCTAGCAAGTGCGAGGCCCTGGGTTCGATCCTCAGCACCACATAAAAATAAAATATTGTGTCCAACTACAACTAAAAATTAAATAAATAAATAATTGGGGGAAACTGGGTGAAGGGTACAAGGCCCTTTTTGTATTATCTCTGCATCTTCCTATAAATCTATAATTATTTCAAAATAAAAGTTGATTTTATTTATTTTTGTTTATTTGTTTTGCTTTTGTGGTACTGGTTATTGAACCTAGAGCACTCTATGACTCAGCCACATTCACAACCCTTTTTATTTTTTATTTTGAGGCAGGGTCTCACTAAGGTGGTGAGGCTGTAGATGGACACAATACCTTTGTTTTATTTATTTTTATGTGATCAATTTATTTTATTGATCCTCTTGCCTCAGCCTTCCCAGTAACTGGGATTACAGATGTGTGTCACCATGCCCAGCATAAAAGTTGTTTTAAAATTTTGGGTCTGTTCTAGGTTAAAAATGACTAAAGACATAAACATAATGTGAGAAATGAGGCAGAAATCAAGATATTTTCAGACAAAGGAAAGCTAAGGGAATTTGTTTTAGCAGACCCGCTATAAAATAATAGCTAATGGAAGTTTTCAAAACACTGGTTAATTCTAATTTTTAAAATAAATATAAAAAGCAAATTTGGAAAACTTAGAGTACAAACTGCATATTAGATATTAGATGATGTGAGATTATGCTTAATTTTCTTAGGTATCATAAATATTGTGCCTATGTTAGAGAATGTCTTTATTACCAAGAGATACATGCTGGAGTACTTAGGAGATGAAGTGTAGTGAAACTTATATTCAAATGGATCAGGAAAAAAGCGAAGGATCCCTAGATAGAGCAAATGAAACAATATATTACTATTTGTTGACTTGATGAGGAAGACATACAGTGATATTCACTGTGCTACTCCTTCAACATTTTTTAAAATATATTTTTAGTCATAGATGGACACAATATCTTTATTTTATTTATTTTTATGTGGTGCTGATTGGAACCCAGTGCCTCACACATGCTAGGCAAGCACTCTACCACTGAGCCAGAACCCCAGCCCTATTCTTTCAACATTTTTGTACGTTGTTAAATTTTCCTTTTCAAAAAGTTGAAGCGGGCAGGCTTGGTGGCACATGCCTGAAACTCCTGAAACTCATGAGGTTTATGCAGAAGTTCGAGGCCAGCCTCAGCAATTTAGCAAGGCTCTGAGCAACTTAGTGAGAACTTGTCTCAAAATAAAAATTAAAAAGGTCTGGGGATGTGGTTCAGTGCTAAAGCAACCCTGGGTTCAATAGCCAGTAATGTAAAAAACAAAAACAAAAACAAAACAAAAACGTTGTAGGGGATATATGGAGGATACACATATGATAGAGCATACATAGTAAAATCTTTCTGGAAATCCAGGTGGTCGGTAAAATTCTTTTAATTTTTATGTTTATTTGTAAATTTTCATATTAAAATGTGGGGATGAATAGCTCAAAGAAAAAAAAATCCCAATTTGGAGTCTTCCCCTAGCATTCCCAATCCATGGATCCATTTTACCCACATCCCCAGCACTAATTTGTATTTTATTTAGAGACAGGGTCCCATTGAGTTGCTTAGTGTCTGGCCATTGCTGAGGCTGGCTTTGAACTTTAGATCCTCCTGTTTCAGGCTCCTGGAGCTGCTGGGATTACAGGTGTATTACACTGTGCCCAGCTCTACTTTTTCTTTTATCTATGGCACTTATCACCACATGCATTATACCATTCACTTTTTTATTGTGTTTACTTTTGTCTGTGTCTCCTCATGAGAATGTAAACTCCCCAAGGGCAGGGATTTGTTTGTTTTGTTCTGTTCTGTTTGCAAGTATATCTTCAAATCCTAGATTAGTGGCATGGATATTTGTTGAATTAAGGAGGAATCTCTGTAACTCTAGCATGTACATCAAGGTGTTGTCCAAAGTAGGTGGCTCTATGAATGTTTGTTGAATTGAAGTGAGACCTAGGCTTTGCAGCAGAACTTAGAATAGATCCATTATACTAGAATGGTTCAGAGCATAGCCCCTGGAGTCAGATGGCAAGGATTTACATCCTGATTCTGTTATTTTCAGCTCTGTTATCTAGCTTTGTTAACATCTCTGGTCCTCAGTTTCTTGTCGGAAAAATCAAGGTAATAATGTTACTACCTTGGTAGGATTTTGGTTTGCACATAAAGCACTTAAGATTTCGTAAAGTCTCAATCATTGTAAGCTAAAGACAAAAGCAGAACAACAAGAGACAGTCTTCCTGCTTTCTTACCCTCCTCCCATCCCCCAACAGGCTGCATGAGCCATGAGAGGCAAAGGAGATGTCTTTTGGATGGGTATTCTCAAGTTCTTCTCTGGACCCGCAGAATGACTTCTCTCACTTCAGGTCTCTTACCTTTTCTCCTATCCTGGACTCTTTCCTCTTAGAATCCAGAAGCTCCTTCCCCCATCATAACCATGGCAGAATGGAATGGAGGGACAGGAGTATGTGGACCAAGGACAAGTGCTTGGAGTTTTCTACTACTGCCTGTTCTAGGATTGAGTCCCTCAGTGGTGATGTAAGAAGGTCAAGTGTGAGGTTCACAGTCATTTCAGGGCCTAGAGGATGAGAGAACAATAGTCCTGAGGAAGAGGTATTGACAGGAGAGCAGGCCTCATATGCTACCTTATATGCTTGTCCCCTGTAGGAAAGAGCACTTTTCTCACTCTGTTCCAACGTCCTTTCGGTCAGTTCTGCTCCCTCAAGTCTTTACTTCTGGTGGCCCCAGATCAGAGCAAGCCTGGGGACCCATTGAGCATCTCTGTGCAACTCCCTCTTGGAGGTGGGGTGGGGCGGAGTGGAAGGGGAACGGGCTAAAATTGGGGACATAGGGGGATGAGATCGCGCGCTCGAGCTTTCCTTTGGTCCAAGTCCTCTGCTCCTACACTAGGGGGACAGTACCCCAGAGATCCGAGGAGCTGGGGCTGAGCCTGGGGACGCTGCTGCCTCTGTTCCTTTAAGGAGCTGCTGTTTAGCATTCCTGCCGCTGCCGCTGCCTGACTCTGCGCCCTGATTGGCTGGAATCAACTGAGAAGGGAGCCAGGGAGAGATGCTCTTGACTCCACTCAGATCCATCCTGGGGACCAGAGCAGAAGCGGTCCTCGTTGCACCCAGTCTCTGCTTGGGCTCCCGCTTCTTCTTTGCCGCTGGGCCTTGGCCCAGAAGCCACGACGGGCGACACGGAGCCACCAGTGCTGGAGGGGGAGCCATGGGTGCGGGGCAGCGTGGGGGCAGAGGCCCCCGGACGCCCTCCCGGCCCCAGGCCCCGCTCTGCCCGGGCGCCCCCACGGGTGCCCCCCCCTTCCTGGTCCGAGCAGTGTGAGTGTGCCCGGGAGCCCGGCGGCGGCGGCGTGGAAACTGGCGTGGGCTGGGGGGTCCGAGCTGCGGGGGGCAGTGCCATGCACAAGCACCAGCACTGCTGTAAGTGCCCCGAGTGCTATGAAGTGACCCGCCTGGCCGCCCTGCGGCGCCTCGAACCTCCTGGCTACGGGGATTGGCAGGTGCCCGACCCCTATGGGCCAGGTGGGGGTAATGGGGCCAGCTCCAGTTATGGGGGCTACAGCTCGCAGACCCTGCCCTCACAGGCAGGGGCCACCCCCACTCCTCGCACCAAGGCCAAGCTCATCCCCACCGGCCGGGATGTAGGGCCAGTGCCCCCTAAGCCAGTTCCAGGCAAGAGCACCCCCAAACTCAACGGCAGTGGCCCCAGCTGGTGGCCTGAATGCACCTGTACCAACCGGGACTGGTATGAGCAGGTATGGACCAGCGGAGGTGGGGGGCGCTGGTGGGGCAATCCAGGAGGGCTGGAAAGTGGGTGCCTTAGAGGCCTGGGGTGCAGCAGGGATTGCTGGGGCTCCAAGCCTGTGGATCCCCGAGCCTTAGCATTGCAGCTGGGCAAAGAGAGGTGGTTGGGAACGTGCGGTTCTCTGTGTGTGTGTGTTCAGGGGGTCTCCATTCGGAGGGGATTGGGAGGAGCTGTGTGTGTCAAGGGGTGAAGGTATGGCGGAGGGGCACATTTTCCTGTGTGGGGGAATTGGGTTTGTCTCAGTGCGGGGGTTTGGCAGTGTCTCTGTGTCTGGCAGGGGGCGGGAGGTTCTGCGGGGGTTGTGTGTGTCTCCACAGGAGGGGAGGAGGGGGCACGGTACTCTGCGTAGGGGGGACATATGTGTGTGTGTGTATGTATGTTGGGGTATGTGGAGGAAGGCAATAGAGCGCCTGTGAGTCTTATGTAGAGAAGCCCATGTGCCCGCCTTGCTGAGCTTCATCCCTCGATGCCATGAGTCCTCTCAGTCCCAGTCCCTTTGTGTGTGAATGTGCACATGGACGTGTGGGGATGTCTCTCTGAATGTGGAGGTGTCTCTATAGATGAGGCTGCAGGGATAGCTGGGTTTGCCCATGTGTGTGTGGTTACATGTATATGTGTGTGAGCATGTGGCTGCCAGAGTGTGTACCCGTGTGTGTGTGTGTGTGTGTGTGTGTGTATGTGTGTGTGTGTGTGCCTGTGTGTGTGTCTGTGTGTGTGTTGTCCCTGGTGAGCAGCGCTTGACAGGCAAGGGAGGGGAGGGGGAGGAGGCGAGAGACACGTCCCAAGCAAGGCTGAGAGGCTGCTGAGAAGGACAGACTCTTTTGTCCAAGCAGCTCTGAAGTGTGTGTGCTGGGGGTTGGGGGGGGGAGGTGAAGCAAGCTTTCTCGCTCCAGAGCAGGCATGGTGCCTGGAGCCAAGCAAGGGGCAGCTGCCCTGGTGCAGGGACTGGCCCCAGTAGGGCATGTCCCCCTTGGGCAGCTCCAGATGTGGGAGAACTTAGCCCCCCAGTCCTGACTTGGCACAGCTTGGGAGCCTCTGGGTGCTGGGCACAACTCCGGCTTCCACTCCCAGACTAAACTGCCAGCTTAGAAAATGGAAGGAGCATCTGTGGGAGAAGCAGCAAAATGGAGGCTGGGCCGGCAGAGCCAGGTCCCTGGCATGCATGGCGGAAGGCCTGTCTGGCTATTCGGCTCTGCAGCCCCTAGGGTGGGGAGAGAGGAGGAGGAGGCTTTGCTGTTGAGGGCAGGTGCTGACTGCCCCAAGCTGGTGACCTGTTCTGGCTGCCTCTGTCTTCCTCTGGGGATAGGATGTGCTCTCGCTCAGAAGCAAAGGTGGGGACTTCCTGGAGAGAGGAATCCTCAGTTCTGGCCTTCTGTCTGTCCATACTTACTGTTTCCTGTATCCCTTGCCTCAACCCCTTGACTTTGCCCCTTGCCCTCTCCAGCAAGTCCCCTTCTTTCCTTTGCCCCTCTGTCATTTGGCCCTTCCATTGCAAACACTTTCTTATACTTGTCCTGCCCAGCTGAAGACAGGTACCAATCCCAGGGCTATACCAGTTGGCTAAGATGTCTTTCCTGGAGCTGATCCCTGGATGACTCCTTGGCCCTGGAAGCAAGGTCCCTGAGTGAGGGTGGAGTGGGGACTAGAGGGTAGACCAATGGGAAGTGGAAGTCTCTGGGTACCACTTGAACTGGGTTTGAGGCATGGCTTGTCACATGTGGGCACACATGGTACACCAGATGCATACAAGAACCAAATGGGTGTCCTTTTGCTTGTGTGTCTGTTGCATGGTACTTCAAGCAGCTGTGTTGGTTCTGGGTCTCTGAACATACCATCCGTTCTTCCTCCTGGGATCAGGAACAGGGTGAAGCTGTAGCTGGAGACCTCTAATCTCCTTCCAGGGCTGCAGGGCATGAAGTCTTGGGAGCCATATCCCCAAAGGGCGGAGGCATGACTAGCCTCTCTCTCTCTCCCCCCTGTCTGCTTGAAACTAAAGCTGCAGGGGGTGGAGGTAGGAAGGGGAAGCACAGCAGGGTGCTCAAAGGAGCCCCCACTCTGGTTTTCTAGCTCTCTTCTGGAGTGGAAGCTAGGGATTAGGAAAGGGACAACATAGCCAACAAAAGATGGGGGGAGGTGCCAGATTGCCTGGGGAGAGAGGCAAGAGAACTTCTTCATTCTTGCAGATGAGATTGGGAACCAGGGAGCAGGTGCTACTTGTTTGTCCAGAATCAGATTTCCACTTGAAAAGTGGCCACATATAAGTCCTGTCTGGGAGGCCATCTCTGTGGGTTGGTCAAATCAACCCTGCATTTCTGACCCCTTCCATTGCCTCTCCATGGCTATTGTGTATTGAAGACCACGGAATTCTGCTGGTAATCAGTCTGTGGGTCACCATGTTATCCCTCACCTCATGAAGAACAGTGTCTACTCTGTTCCTGTCCAGCCCTGGCTTTGCCTCTGAATCCTGACTAGATCCCACCCTGGCCATTTCTGCTGGAACATACAAAGAATCAACAGTCCCTTGGTAGAAAATGGATTAGGACTTTGACTTTTGTCCAGTCCTGGGGAATTGGGTTGTTGGAGCCCCTGAAGATGGTGTAGAGTAAGGGTTCATAAGGTACTCTGAAGGGGACAACTTTCCTTTTTTCCCATGAGTTCTTCTGGAGAAAGGGGATGATGGCCTTGACAGCTTGCTTTAATCCAAAGAGCACCTGGATATCCAGGTTCTAGGACCTGCTCTACCACTAACTCCCATTGTGCCCTTAGGCACATTCCACATCCTCTCTTGGATGTCACCATCTGTCACATGAGGGGGTTAGATAAGATGTTGTCTGCTTTCTTACATGGTAGGACTCTATGGTCCACAAGTCAGGGGGAGCTATGTTCAGAAGGGGAGGGGTTCTCTGGCCAGACCTCTGGGTACCCCCTATGGAGCAGGGTGTGGTGCAATTTGCCCCCCACGCTCCATTTCTGCCACCCCCCTTAGGCCAGCCCTGCACCCCTCCTAGTGAACCCTGAGGCCCTGGAGCCCAGCCTCTTGGTGAGTGCACCACTGACTGGCTCAGTCCCAGACAATTGATCTGAGCTAAGTAAGCAGCTGGGTTTGGCCTGATATGGTTGGATGTAAGGGGAGGGGAGTGGCCCCCTTGGGGTCAGCCTGTCCCCATCTGTGGCCTAGAGGTGACCTGGGATGTATGTGGGCCCTCTACTCTGTGGGAGTGGGGGAGGGGAGGAGGCAGGTTGACCAAAGGGCTGATGACTGGGAGGGCAAGAGGCACTGAGCGAGCTGCCTGTGTCTTCCCCTAGGTGAATGGCAGTGATGGCATGTTCAAATATGAGGAGATAGTACTCGAACGGGTGAGTCTGCCTGTGGGAAGAGGATGAAAGGGGAGGAGAGGGCTGAAGTCAAAAGAGGGGAGGACCTTGAACACCAGTTTCAACACTCATGAGGAACCTGCACTGAGAGGACAGGGAAACAGCAGCCTTCAGAGCCACTTCACTGCATCAATCAATCAACTCCCTAACAAATATTAATTGACCTTGCTCGCTGAGGCCTGGGGAATTGGGGAGGGGATGGGTTTGCTGAGGCCTCCCTGCCAGAATGGTCAGCACAGGCTGGGAGCCTGCTGAGTTTCTGACAAATGTCCACCAGCCTACCAGGGGGCCTGGAAAATTTTCTCTGGGTCTAAAGGGGGGGGTGCTGCCTAGAACCTTCCTTTGTGCCCTCACAGTGAATATAATGTGCCCTTCCACCCCCTTCCACAGGGCAACTCTGGCCTGGGCTTCAGTATTGCAGGTGGCATCGACAACCCCCATGTCCCTGATGACCCTGGAATCTTTATTACCAAGATCATCCCTGGTGGAGCAGCTGCCATGGATGGAAGGCTAGGGTGAGAGATACTGGAAGCAGAATTGTGGGTGTCAGGGGTGGGATGGAGAGGAAGGGAGGAGGGCCAGCCTGGCAGGATGACCCTTCCATTAGATCTGATATGGGGAGAGGGAGAGGATGGAGGAGGAGGAAGAGGAGGGGGCAGGAGGGGAAGGATGTGGGAGAGGGGGTGGAGGGGCTGTGGCACAGTGTCATGCCTCTCGGGCTTCCCCCGCAGGGTGAATGACTGTGTTCTGCGGGTGAATGAGGTGGACGTGTCGGAGGTGGTGCACAGCCGGGCCGTGGAGGCGTTGAAGGAGGCAGGTCCTGTGGTGCGGTTGGTGGTGCGGAGGCGACAGCCCCCACCCGAGACCATCATGGAGGTCAACTTGCTCAAAGGGCCCAAAGGTGCGGCCCTCTGGGTTCCTGTGCTCTAGCCAGAGCCCCGGCCCCAGGTCTTGACTGGCCCCATGGGGAATGGAAGGGAATGGCCTTACTCCTTGTGTGACTCCTCCAGTTCCAGCTCATAGCTTTCTTTCTTGACCTCAGGTCTCACCCTTACTGACCTTGGGATGGCAGCCTAGTGTTTGGGATTCCTGGGGGGTGCTCCTGAGGGGCCAGTGGGTTGGCTGGAGGAAGGGAATTAGCTTTGGGATTGACCAAACACTCTAACCTGCTCTGTGACCCTCTCTCACTCCCTGCTGACTATCTCCCAGGCCTGGGTTTCAGCATTGCTGGGGGCATTGGCAACCAGCACATCCCGGGAGACAACAGCATCTACATCACCAAGATCATTGAGGGGGGAGCTGCTCAGAAGGATGGACGCCTACAGATTGGGGACCGGCTGCTGGCGGTGAGACAGGCTTCATGGGGATGCCCAAATGGTAGGGTGGGGAGGAGGAGCTCTAGCACCCTGTCATTCCACCTAAACCTCACTGGGGATGAGGCATCTTGGGGTACTTCAAGAATATCTTCTCATACCAAGTCCCTAGTTCTCTCTGTGTCAGAGGCTCCCTCACCTGCTCTTTCCCTTCCCCCTGCTTGTCTTGTGTCCTCACAGCACTATACTTGGACCTCTGTTAGCACACCATTGAATTTCATTGCAAGGGCACCCCTCCGGAGCCTAGAGAGAGGCCTTCCTTTCTCCCAATTCCCAGGCTGAGGCTTCTCCCTTTCTAGGTGAACAACACCAATCTACAGGATGTGAGGCACGAGGAAGCTGTGGCCTCACTGAAGAATACATCTGATATGGTCTATCTGAAAGTGGCTAAGCCAGGCAGTCTCCACCTCAACGACATGTACGCTCCCCCTGACTACGCCAGCAGTACGTACTCTCTGGCTCCTGTCCCTGGCCTCAGGCTGTGCTCCTGGGTTTGGGGAGGGGAAGTTGTTTGTGTCCCTTGTGAAGAGAGGAAGTGGGGGGGCTGGGATTGTGGCTCAGCGGTAGAATGCTCGTGTAGCATGTGTGAGGCCCTGGGTTTGATCCTCAGCACCACATTAAAAGTAAACAAATAAAATAAAGATATTGTGTCCAACGACAACTAAAAAAATATTTTTTTTAAAAAAAGAGGAAGTGCAGGAGATAGTGCTCAGAACTGAGTCCAGATCCCAGCTCTATCCCTTGGAGCTGGGTGCCCTTGGACAAGTCCTTTTCACCTGTCTTTACTTTCCTCTTTGGCAAAAAGCTAATGATATATGTGCTGCCTTCCTCATAGGACTGGTGCAAGGATCAAATGAGATCATGGAAGAGAAAGCCCTTAGAAAACTGTATTAGGCTACAGAGATGTGAGGGATTATTATTAGTCACACCTCTAGTCAGGCCTTTCTTTGTAGACTGCCTTGACTTCAGCTCTTTCTAAGAGTTACAGGAGTGAGCCCAGGATTTAGAAAGGGACTGTGGAGGAGGAACCCTAGGGGGTGGATGGCCAAGGGAGGGGGGTGCCTAAGGAATCAGCATCTCTTCCTAGAGACCTGAGAAGGGGTGTGAGGGAAATTCCTTGGAAGGGGGTTGGGGTAGGTACCTGCCTGGAACAATCCTGAACTTTTCTCTCCCTTTCTTGACCCCAGCTTTTACCGCCTTGGCTGACAACCACATAAGCCATAATTCCAGCCTGGGTTATCTCGGGGCGGTGGAGAGCAAGGTCAGCTACCCGGCTCCTCCTCAGGTCCCCCCCACTCGCTACTCTCCTATCCCCAGGCACATGCTGGCCGAGGAGGACTTCACCAGGTAAGACCCTCGCCCCATTCATCTGGCCCATGGAAGGGGGTTGGAGAGGAATCATTTCTGGCCTGCGACAGGCCTCTTGCAAAGAAGAGTATCCAGTCCTCATTGCCCCTAGCTGTGACGTCTTGGCAGGGGGCCCCTCTCTGACCTAGAGAGGAACAGAGGTGGCTGCAAAGACAAGTTCTACCATCAGGGGGAGCGCCGACCGAGTGGCCCCGATCCGAAAGTGCAGATAAAGGGTAGGGTGGAGCGTTTAGGGGCTGAGGAGGTGGGGGCTGTGGGTTTTCCTGCCTTGAGATAGTTTGCACCCCCGCCCCCCCCACCGTGTTCCAGCCACTCCAAATTATTGAAGAAAGCAGTTCAGCCAGTGGGGTTGGGGGGATTCTGAGAGGCCAGCAGGCCGGGTGGCCTCACGGGGAACGGCCCCGCCCCACCGTGGCGGCGGCGGCTGAGCCCCGCGGTGGAACTGGTCAGGCCAGCCGGGATTCCGGGGGACAGGTTTGCGGGGTGGGGCCTGGTAGGCTGCTGGGCAGACTGCGGTGGAGCCGGAAGGGTAGGCAGACAGGGGGAGAGCCAGAGGAGCCATGGAGAGGGCCCGCAAGTTCTCAGGCTCCGGCTTGGCCCTGGGCTTGGGCTCGGCCTCAGCTTCGGCCTGGAGGAGGGCTTCGCAGAGGTGGGCCTGGCCGCTCCGCTCCCTGCGGCCTGGAGGGGATGCCAGGTAGGAGTGGAAGGTTGGGAACCAGAGCATCGGGGACTCAGGGAGGGAGCCTCACATCTGAGACTGGGACCGAGAAAGGGGGACCCTCATTTGGGACTCAGGGCTTCTCTGAGGAAAGATGCTAGTAATAAGTGGGCCTGGAAATGTGCTGAGAGTCGGGTTGTACGTGAGTATATGTGTGGAAGTTTGCTCTCACCTGATCACACTGTGACCATTTAGAAAGGGGTTCCACGGATATGATTAGTTTTAGTCACATTTTTCATGTGCTTATCCCCTTTCTTCATGATCCCTAAGCATCATTTGAGAACCTGGGATTTCTTCATCTCTGTCTCCCACATCACCTATTAGGGGTACCTAGTGGTTTATTAAATATGTTCTTGGGGAAGGTAGGAAGGGTCATGGTTGGTGGGTGGAAATTTGAGATGGCAGAGGGGCAGATGTGAAGTAAGTATGCACATTTTGTGGATGGTAGGTGCAGTCAACTCAGGGTGAGTCCACTGTCCCTGACATGTTCCTCTTCTTGTGGCCCAGGGTCTGTGACAGGGTCCATAGGATAGGAGGCTCTGGGGAGGAAGAGGACTGGTGAGTGGGCTCTGGGATTTGGGTTCTAGAGTTCAGGGTACGGGTTTGTTGACCTGATAGAGAGCTGTCCATTGGGAAGTTGATGCCAAGGCCTCAAGAACAAGGAGAGAAGAGGAACTGAAACTGGGCATCTGACAACAAAGAGCAGTCAAGCAGGTTTCAGGAGATGAAGGGAGGAACAGGGCATCATACATATAGACCTAAGTCCTTACTCCCTACAGCATGTATGGGTCCTTTTCCAGGCTGGCCCTGACAGGGACAACAGTTCCTATCTCCTTTTGTCCTGACCTCCATTGTGTCTCCATTCCTTTCCCACCAGAGAGCCCCGCAAGATCATCCTACACAAAGGCTCTACAGGCCTAGGTTTCAACATCGTAGGAGGAGAGGATGGAGAAGGCATTTTTGTCTCCTTCATCCTGGCAGGAGGCCCAGCCGACCTGAGTGGGGAGCTGCGCAGGGGAGACCGGATCTTATCGGTGAGACAAAGGCGAGGTGGGAGGATGGGAGCTGTGCCAGTCTGAAAGGGAGGAGGGGAGACCTTGCTTCCTTAAAGAATGCTTCTTGAGATGAGGCAAGAGCTAAGGACTAGAGAAAACATACATTGTCTTTATAGATATCCTTAGTGAGGGACAGGGGACCAAGACCAGACTTATCCTTAAGGAGGAAATGAATATATCTTGGATCTTAACCCTGATTGGCATTAGACTCCTACAAAGATAATTATTGCACTACAGATGTTGTGTCCTTCAGGTTTCATTTAGGGGGCAATGATGGAATTTTGAGAAAGACATTTCCTTCTAACTGGTAGGACAGAGGACTTCCTTTCTTGCTTTTGGAGTGGCTCATGACTCCTCTCTTTGGTCAGGTAAATGGAGTGAACCTGAGGAATGCAACTCATGAGCAGGCTGCAGCTGCTCTGAAACGGGCTGGCCAGTCAGTCACCATTGTGGCCCAGTACAGACCTGAAGGTAGGAGAAGGGAAGGTGGGAAGAGATGCTTTGGCTGGGGAGTTTGCACTTATGCTAATTATTGGTGGTACAGAGCCACTTGACCAGGTCCCTGCTATCCTAGTGCAGTAATCTCTTTGTCTCTCCTTTTCCTTCTGGACAGGGGTTAGTTGGGGAGGCTTTGAAGGCTGTGCTCAGACCCTACTGATGAGGGATGCAGTGCAACAGAAGGCCAGTAGTGGGCAGCAGCCTACGGATTGAAGCACAGAGATTAGGGCAACTGGAAAAATGGGAGGGGAGGCGGAGAACTCAGAGGTGAAGACAGGGAACTGTGTGCCCTGTAACAGAAGAGCAGCTCTGGATTAGAAGGCCCACAGGGAAAAAGAATTCCCATCTCTTAAGGGGTCTTGAGCCAAACTTCTCTGACTCCACCCCCTCCCCTCACCTAGAAGGCCGGTAAACATGCTGAAAGGGGATACTGCGCCCTTGGGGTAGGGCGTCGGGAGTCGACCACCTCTCGCTTTGGGGATGCGTGCCTTCTTTGTATTCTCAGCAAGTAGTGCCCTGGTTGGGGTGAATGGGCGGGGCCAGTTATTACAAATGAAAGCGTTTGATTGGCTGAGGCCAGAAGAGGCCCAGGTGCTGGTGCCGAGGTGAGCTGCGAGAAGGCGCGCCCTATCCTTCAGGCCGGCGGGATGACCATTGGCCGGCCGTGCTCGGCCTCCAGGCACACGCCCCGCCCCCTGACCCAGGCGAAGGGCGGCGGGCGCCCCTCCTTCTCCCCCTTGCGCGCCTCAGGCGTCTCCTCCTCCTTCTTCCCCTCCCCCTCCTTCTCCCTCATTCTCTCTCCCCTCCTCCCGCGCGCCCCGCTTTGTGTCCGTGGTCTCCCGCGCGGGACGGAGGGACTGGCTGGAGCTGGTTCTTTCTCAGCACTAGACCTGGACTCCGACCCGGCGCCAGGTGAGGTGGGGCGGACGGGGGTCAGGCCCCCTCACAGTCCCCCCCCCCCCAGCCTCTCTGCGGTTCTGTTCTCAGTCTCTTTTCCAACACTTCGTCCCCAACTCTGCCTTCTTCCCCGAATACTTTCACCGCGGGCCCCCAGCCCCCTTCTGAGCACCTCCTGAGGGTCCCTCTCTGGCCCCAGGCAGCACTGCGCGGTGTTGCTCTGTCCACTGGGTCCTGTCTGGCCTTCACCTCTTTGCCATCACCTCTCCTCACCCATGAACTGTGCCCCCCTCGCACCCCAGAGCCTCAGTGTCTGCATCCTCCTTCCTGCTGGCTGCTGCGCCCTCTTTCCCTGAGGAATTTTCTAAACCTTCCCCTTCCCCCACACACGTTTCACCTAACCTCGGGGAACACCAGCGATTGGGTTGGTATTCTAGTGCCCCCTTCCTTTTGTTAGTAAAGGTTTCATTCCGTCTTTCGCCTCCCCTTCCCTTTGTAAGCCTGGCCTTTGTCCCTTAGAGGTACAGCGCCTGGGCTCCTTGGACACCTAGGCCCTGTGATCTGGTTAGTAACATGAAGGAGGGGACCTGTCTCTAGCAGGTGCTCTAGTTCTGTGAGGAGAAGGGGAGAGACAGACAGTGGGAGCCCGGGGACAAAGTTGAGAGGGCTCGAAAGTGTCCACCTTTGTCCTTTCCGCCCCCTCCCCCACGCTGGTTCAGTGCCCCCAGGGCCTGAAGGGGAAAAAAAAGAGAGAGCCTGCTACCTTTTGCGTGACTTCTTGGATAGGGACACAGACGAGTAGGGAGGTAACTACCAGGAGATCTTGTTGGTCTGAGGTAGTGGGAAAGAGGGATGCAAATGGACACTTTGAGTCATTTCTCTCCATGTTTGGCATTCAGCTTACTGACAAGGATCACACCTTAGGGTTATTGTTTTCATCATTTATGCGTGTGCTGTTTGCTTCTCAGTAGAGAGCTAACCCTAACCGTTGGATTTTTATTAGTAACTAATATTTATCCATTACATGCCCACAACTTAGACAACTTAGTTTCTGCAAAGGAAATGGTTTCTCTTGCATAGTTCTGAGTGTGTGTGTGTGTGTGTGTGTGTGTGTGTGTGTGTAGGAGAAATTGATGTTTCTTTCACTTTTACTCTCTGATGTTGGGCACATGGAAACAATACTGTGAATTTGTTTGGTGGTGGTATATTGGAAACTGGTGACTACATGTTTCTGTGACTTGTTGGGGAAATGCAACTGGTTTGTATAAAAAGTTGTAAATTATCCAGGGTAGAGGGATTCCTGTGGTGTTCATTTGCTCTCTGAGCATATTTCTGAGAGTTGAGGTTGAGGTGCTATCTTGTGTCAGGTCTTTCTACCACTTGATACATAGGGCCTTTTTTTCCTCTTAGGATTTTAGTTGAATCACTGTTGTTAAGGCAGTGCTATCCCAATCTTATTTCTTTCTTTGGTTTGCCAAATTCAACATGGATCTGGCATTTAAAAGCTTTTTTCTTTTTTTTTATTTGAAAATGGACCCTCAGAGACAGGTCTAGAGGGACTATCAAGCATTTGCTCTGAATTTTCTTTGATAAAGTGCTTGTTTTTAAAAATAAGGACCCCATGTTGATCATTTCATAAATATATTAAATATGGTTCTTTGGAGGATTGCATCATGGTGGGTATTTAAATATTGAATAATCCAAGTGTATGTGTATTGGAAAAAATGGCAGCAACTTTGCATGTTATCAGCCAAGTAAGTGTTCATTGTTTGGATTTTTTCCACATAGAATGTGAGAGCTGGAAAGGATCATGTGGTCCAACCCCTGATCCTGCAGACTGGAATAAGCACAGGACAGTCGGGATGTGACTTGCCTAAGGTCATGAAGGGGAAGTTGTCCAGGGTCAGCAATTCATTTAATCCTGAAGTCCACCAGTTGGTACATGGTTATAACAACTGAGAGACCCTAAGACCTAGTTCACACTAGAAGAGTAATAGGAAACTATTGGGGAAATAACAGAAGAGAGAGTAGGGAAGCAACAACAGAAAGAAAGATATGTGGAAAAAGGTACTGTGCACTGAGGCAATATTGCCAAACCAGAACAGCCTTTAGCGAGATAAGCTTTAGTGTGAAAGCTTAAAAAAATAGGTTTGACTAATTAGAACTGAGTAAGAACATTTTCCTCCCTTTTTAAATGACTTTAGTGAGATTTTAAGTAAATATACTGCACAATTCCCCCAGTTAAATATACAATTCAGTGACACACAGTTGTGCCTCTGTCACCACAGATAGTTTGAGAACTCTTTCATTACCCTTTTCCTTTTAATACATAAAGAGTGCAAGCACTGGAAGGGTGATAGGTTTAGGACAATTGCTTCCTAGTGTATCTCCTTGGACACTTAGGGGCTGGATGGCAACTTGAGAATGCTCTAAACTTGAGCTTCTCTCATATATCTGGTTTGTTTAATGTGAATTAAAGCCGTAATAAAACATAGGAACTATGTCTTTTTATTTAAACTTTGTATTGTGTCTAGTATGTGTGCTTTACAAGTGTTTTCATGATGAAGCTTTTTAAAATGTTAAAATAGAGAAGAACAAAATGATAAGGTACCATAGTGAGAGATGACGTTTGATAGTTTCGCTCCTGATTGCTCCAAACTGTTGTGGACACAGCAATCCTACCTATTAGCTAAAAATAGCATGATGTTCTTAGGCATGTATAATCCTGCTTAAAATTCAAATCAAATATTTAAACAACTGGCTCTTGCTTGGCAAAGGGTTTCTTCCAATCTATTCTAAAATGAAAAAAAAAACATATTTTTCTATGACTTGTGGAATTGCTCCATCAAGGGAAGGATGGGCTTGGTGTTATTATAACATTTTGAGATCTCCTGTATTTCCCCTGTAGTTACTATATGTCAGCCTCTGCTTATATATACTGTGCTGGTATTTTTCTGGAGAGTCTTTTGGTTTTTAGAATAGAACCTGATCTCCAAATCAAGAGGGTGAGCCAGAAATTGGTCACTAAGGTAGCTAAACTGGGAAGTGATACTTTGTGACCAGTCTTTTCAATTGCAATATAAATCCAAATAGGGTGGGGGTACACTGAGTGAGAGAGAATTAGAGTTTTTCAGTAACTTATTTTAAGGTGCTGAATAAGCATACTTATACCATGAAAACTGGGAAAGTTAGGGGCTGGGGTTGTGGCTCAGCAGTAGAGTGCCTGCCTTGCACTTGTGAGGCACTGGGTTTGATCCTCAGCACCACATAAAAACAAATAAAAATAAAGATATTGTGTCCATCAACAACTAAAAAAAGTTAAAAAAAGAAAAAACTGGGAAAGTTAGTGATCACTGTTGACAATAACTTGAAAGCATAGAAGGAATATTTTCCCTAACAACATTTAAGTAACTATCCCAACTCCCTGTGTTTGAGAATGAAGCACGTAAACATTACTGCTATCCTATCAGCATGATCTCTCTTGAGAGCCCAGAGGTGAAAAGGCAAAAAATATTCTGAAACTTATACCATCATTGTAAAAGAAGGCTAAGATGAGGAAGAAAGAAAATAAACTCCTGGTAACAGCATTTCTACACTGTGAACAACTGGAAGACAAGTTAGTATTGTATTCATCTTTGTGTCCCCAGCACCTTGTCTGGAACCTGGCACATATTTTGTTGAACTGAATTAAGTATCTATGTTCTAGACACTTTTGTAAGCATTCGTCTTTAGGTTATCCCTAAAGGATAACATCATTATCCCTAAAGGATAACCTAAATATGTGCAGGATAGGTGGTATTTTCCCATTTTGCAGGTGAGGAAAGTAAGGATGAGAGAGATTGAGTAATTTACTGAGGGTCACATAGTAAGTAAGGGGTAGAATCAAAGTTTGAAGTCAGATTTCCTGAGAACTTTGGATTCAGGATTTTTGCCATTAGGCCAGAGATATCTCCTACTGCAGTGGGAAACTGTGAACCCCTCTCTCTACCGAGATATATTTGGTCACAGCAAAAGATACCACTCTGAGATTTTTCAGGTGCCAGAAGCTGTTGTTAACAAATGGAGTTAAACCAACT